ATGGGTAGGCGGCTCTGACGTCACGGCTGCGTGCGGTGGACGGTCCGCTGTGGCCAGTCCCGACCGGCCACAGCGGTCGCTGTGTGCGGTGACGCAAGGCTGACGTAGGGACGCAGTGGGCGGAGCTTGGAGGCTGTGTGCGGTCCGACCGCACACAGGGTCCGTGAACAGCCCTCCTATGTCGTCCTTCTGTCACAGCACACAGCAACAGCTGTGGCCAGTTGGGACGGGCCACACCGTTAGCTGTTTGCGGTCCATCGCACGCAGTAGTGTGATATTACAGACTACCCATTCCCTACCCCCATGCCTGCTGCACACACCGCACCCAGCAGTTTGTGGTGTTCACCACCGTGAACAGCCCTCTGGCCTTTCATGGAACAGCGTGTTCCTAGCACCCTGTCCAAAGTCATTTTATTGATGTGATTATCTCTCACATAAGCCACAGTGACCTGCCTCTGGTTTGATGTTGTTTTCGAGCTCACTATCAGCATCCACCTGACTGGGTCTGACTGAGAGCGATCTGTGTGGTCTCAGGTCAAGTGGTTTGGTTTGTGAGGTGATAGCTATGCTGCTGTGTGCCTACCTTGCCCACTGCATGAGTGTATTTTGTAGAGGGATGCTGCAGACCGTAACCGGACAAATCTTCGTATGGCATTTCTTCGTCGCGCAATATTTCGTCCGCATTTCTTCGTCCGCAAATCTTCGTCGGCGCATTTCTTCGTGTCGCATTACTTCGTCTCGCATTTCTTCGTAGGTGCAAAAATTCGTAGCGCATTTCTTCGTATCCGCATTTCTTCGTCGGCGCATTTCTTCGTCAAGCATTTTTTCGTCCATGCATTTCTTCGTCTACGCAAATCTTCGTCCGCATTTCTTCGTCCACGCAAATCTTCGTCTGCGCATATGTTCGTCCGCAAATCTTCGTCCCCGCAAATCTTCGTCCGCAAATCTTCGCCCGCATTTTTTCGTCCACGCATTTCTTCGTCTACGCAAATCTTCGTCCGCATTTCTTCGTCCACGCAAATCTTCGTCCCCGCAAATCTTCGTCCGCAAATCTTCGTCCGCAAATCTTCGTCCGCAAATCTTCGTCCGCAAATCTTCGTCCGCAAATCTTCGTCCGCAAATTTTCGTCCGCATTTTTCGTCCACGCATTTCTTCGTCCAATCAAATCTTCATCCGCAAATCTTCGTTCGCAAATCTTTGTCTGCGCTATCTTCGTCTCCGCAAACATTCGTCCACAAATGTGGTTCAATAAAACCATGAAGAAATATCAGACAGTCAAGTGAATGACGAATTTAATGAATGGAATCAGGAATGGATGATCGAAACTTTTGAAGTCAGGTAGATGAGGTCAGTCAGGTGAAGCTATTGTATTTGGGAGCCGACAATTGTAACATTCCATATCATTTGTGTCCCGGACATTCTTTTTTTCGCGGTCGTTGAATGACAATATAATCTCTTGTATCCTCGCCGGCGTAGGCGGCGGAACGGGGAGGGCACCGGGGCACCGTTCCCCTCTTTAATTTTGGCCGCGTTGCATGGAAAGCATATTGGACCAAAAGTCGGCAGTGCCGTGCCCCCCCTTAACCTTCCAGGCGGTGGGGGGGGGGGCAATTTTTTGCCCCCCCCTTTACTTTTTTTGATATATCTCGAGAACCGCTGCGCCGATCGTCACCAAACTTTCAGTACCCTCCCGGGAGCAGCTAGCGCACATGGTGACCAAAAATTTTTCCAAAGGCTATGATAGGTTGGCCGCTAATGACGTAAGAGTGACGTCATTTTTGCCATTTTCGACCCAAAAAAAGGTTTCGCGGGAAGAGCTGTCAGGCCTACAGCTTTAGAGATACAGAAAAATGTTTTAGACATAAAAGGTGTGGAATCAAAAGGGCTACAAAACTGCTATTTCGGTTTTTCAAATTTTTTGGATTTTGACCCCCAAAAATCAAAAAATAGATTTTTTGAATATAATAGCCAAAAAATCCAAAAAGTTTTTTGAATTTCGAAAAAAACGGAATAAATGTGATAGTCCCTACCGCCTTCTATCTACATACCAAATTTGAGATCGATACCTCGTTTTTTGGCCAAGTTATAGCGAAAAAAACTGTTCAAAATTGATGACGTCAAATTTTCAAACTCAATTTTTAGCAATTCTAGACCTCGTAGCGCAAAACAAAGACCACCATTAGACTCCCCGTGACGAGCTGCATCGAATCGATACCCATTTTGTGCAAAAATATCAACTTTGAAATTTGACCTTTTTTGACCTGACCTTGACCTGACCTCCACCAGAAAGTGACCTAAACCGTACCTGATGCTCTTATAAACAACACCATTGAGTTGGAAATGAAAAACTGGCCATAAAACATGCATCACATAACCTTAGTAAAGTTGGGCTCATGTGGTGACCCTTGGTGACCTTTGGTGACCTGACCTGTGACCTGACCTGGTATGACCAGTGACCTCTAATAGCAACATATGTACTAGACAACTGACGCCTTATCGCTGATTTTCGACAAAATGCGTTTTACTCGGTGTTATAGCGCTTTCCCTGGAAGCCCTGTGAACGGTGAAACATTTTATCTTTGACCTGACCTGTGACGTCATCGGTGACCCCGAGGTCAATGAAATTTGGTTTCTCTCAACAAATTTGACAGGGCTATCGAACGCCGTTTGAATTTTTCGGATCCGTCCAGTAGTTTCGGAGATACGGGGGGGGGGGGCAAAAAAGTGCCCCCCCCCCCCACCGCGTGGAAGGTGGCTGGTAGGCCCACCGCCTGCCGGGTTAATTGAAGATGTTCCGCCGCTACTGCCCGCCGGACCTATTTGTTTTCTACGGTATACGCCGGCCGAGGGGGCGGGTACGACCCCCCCCCCCCCCCATCGCCGTTTCGCCACTGGTGGAGCTAGCGCGTCGCGAAAAAAAAAAACGAGCGTGTGCGCCGTTACGAGCCGCAGAGGAAATAGTTCACTTTCACGAAATTATTTTTTTTTGCAACAATTTATGATTTTTTATGTTCAAAATAATCAGCAAAGAAAATAAAACCTTTTTATAACAAAAGATTTTTTTCTATATTTTGATATAGGAAGAACTTTTCAGTTTCTGTAAGGCACACGCGATCCAGTATGAAAAGAGCATGGGTCCCGAAAATTCTTCAGAAACAGAGAAATTATCGCAGCCACCGGCATTTGGGCGATCTGCTCGATCTGATAATGTTCCCCTGAATGTCCTAATTGATCAGTACGAGAATTTCTCTAGAGTTCTCGTAGATAATTTATCTTGTTTCTGAAGAATTTTCGGGACCCATGCTCTTTTCATACTGGATGGAAATATATGCAAGGCACACATCCTCAACGCAAGACACCTTTTTCGGGACGAGAAATAGAATATCTTTGCCTAGGGTGATCGTTGGGCTGTAAAAGCTCCTGATTTATGCTCGTCTCAGCCCAAGCTACGGAACTGCTATTCCAGTTCAAAACCCATGTTAAAAAGTGAACTATTTCCTTTAATACCCTCAGGGGTCGGCATACGGCCCGCGGGCCGGATCCGGCCAGGTGGGTGACGGTTGGATCCGGCCCGCGACCATCTGAAGTCCGGCCCGCGGCTGGTATCAGCGACTTACATCGTGTTCCGGCCCGCCCCCCCCCCCCCCCCACACACACACCGCCTGGAAGGTTAAGCGAGTAGACCACGTGAAGCCGCCAAGTGCACGCAGCCAGCAGTCGTTGATGCTGCGCGCAAAAGCTGCTGACCAAATCTTACCGTTGCAAGTTTTGTCTAGAAGTAGAATTAGACAAAAACACCCGCAAATGGTGTTTATAAACTCATAAAGTGTGCGAAGGAAGAACTGCTGTGCCAAAGCACATTTGAGTCACTTTTATATCGGAGTCGATTTATGAAGGAACCGCGGTCCGGAACACGATGTAAGTCGCTGATACCAGCCGCGGGCCGGACGTCAGATGGTCGCGGGCTGGATCCAACCGTCACCCACCTGGCCGGATCCGGCCCGCGGGCCGTATGCCGACCCCTGACCTAGAAGGCCTTAAAATCGGGTACCTATTAATCTCTGCGGAACGTAACGGCGCACACGCTCGTTTTTTTTCCGCGACGCGCTAGCTCCACCAGTGGCGAAACGGCGATGGGGGGGGGGGTCGTACCCGCCCCCTCGGCCGGCGTGTACCGTCGAAAACAAATAGGTCCGGCGGGCAGTAGCGGCGGAACATCTTCAATTAAGGGGGGGGGGCACGGCACTGCCGACTTTTGATCCAATATGCTTTCTGCATGTAACGCCCATGGGGCAAAAGGCCAAAATTAAAGAGGGGAACGGTGCCCCGGTGCAATCCCCGTTCCGCCGCCTATGCCGGCGAGGGTACAAGAGATTATATTGTCATTCAACGACCGCAAAAAAAAGAATGTCCGGGACACAAATGAGGAATGTTACAATTGTCGGCTCCCAAATACAATAGCTTCACCTGACTGACCTCATCTACCTGACTTCAAAAGTTTCGATCATCCATTCCATGCATTAAATTCGTCATTCACTTGACTGTCTGATATTTCTTCATGGTTTTATTGAACCACATTTGTGGACGAATGTTTGCGGAGACGAAGATAGCGCAAAGATTTGCGGACGAAGATTTGCGGACGAAGATTTGATTGGACGAAGAAATGCGTGGACGAAAAATGCGGACGAAGATTTGCGGACGAAGATTTGCGGACGAAGATTTGCGAACGAAGATTTGCGGACGAAGATTTGCGGACGAAGATTTGCGGGGACGAAGATTTGCGTGGACGAAGAAATGCGGACGAAGATTTGCGTAGACGAAGAAATGCGTGGACGAAAAAATGCGGACGAAGATTTGCGGACCAAGATTTGCGGACGAACATATGCGCAGACGAAGATTTGCGTGGACGAAGAAATGCGGACGAAGATTTGCGTAGACGAAGAAATGCGTGGACGAAAAAATGCTTGACGAGGAAATGCGCCGACGAAGAAATGCGGATACGAAGAAATGCGCTACGAATTTTTGCACCTACGAAGAAATGCGAGACGAAGTAATGCGACACGAATAAATGCGCCGACGAAGATTTGCGGACGAAGAAATGCGGACGAAGAATTGCGCGACGAAGAAATGCCATACGAAGATTTGTCCTGGAATCCTGCAGACTGATACATGTGCATTGTGCATGGATCTCATCAGAGTGATGGAACTATCTCAGTGGATCTTAAAGCAAACACATTAAGAATTCTATTGGATCCCACCACACTCATCCAGTAAAACCATGTTTCCAAGTGTTCCATGCCAATGAGTGTTACAAAATTATGAAAGGTGCTATTTGTTCACATGGAAATTGGAATCCTTAAAACAGAGCTTTTGTGATTTACAACCAGCATTTTATGATTTCTCATTGTTTCTATAAAAATAGATAAAAATAGGATCTATGGTTCCATTGGATAGAATGACAAATGAAAGAACATTATTTGTGAGCTTATCGGATCTTAGATCAAGATCTTAAGGATTGAATGCCAGATCCATTTTATTAGATCCATGCATTGCACATGTCTGGACTACCTATGTTGTGATTATATCATATAGGTAGTGTCCCAAATTTTGTCAATTTGAGGGGGAAACACCATCCAATTGAATTTTTTGTCTCATTTCCAACTCCCATGACTTATTTTATTGTTCCCAATTTAACCAAGAAAAAACATTTACCTTGATGTTCATTTCAAATCTTGCATCCTACTGGCTACTGGATACCTACCAGCTTTGTAAATAATAGATTTTCCTCTGGATTCCTTCCACACCCTTTGGGTCCTGATTCCTGACTGGCATTGTTCACTCCCATGCCCTTTTTGGCTAGGAGTTTTTCCCTCTGACAAGCCAAAAATATAATTTGAGACCCTGATCATTCATGTGCCTGATCATGATGCTTTTACATTTATCTTTTGTGTGGAAATGTTATGTAGCTTCCTGACTGAAAATGCATTGGATAAACAATTAATAACAGTAAATAAGCATAGAACAAATAAGCAGCTGATTCTGGCTCTTACGGTGTTCGGGCATAATAAAGGCCAACTCGGCCTGGAGGTCCCGTTCTAACCGAGCTCCTGTCCCTTTTGCCATTTGTTAATCCGTGTCTGGTATATGATACCAGTGATGGCCCCAGTGGGCATCGAGTCTCGCCTTGAACGAGTCCACGGTGGGGGCACTGACCACTTGAGCAGGTAGGCCGTCCCAGTCGTTCACGGCCCTGACTGCGAATGCAGCTCTCCTCAGTCTGCTGACCGCCTCTGGCTTGCGGAGCTTGTGTGGGTGACCTCGTGTAACGGCACCCGTGGCGGGGCAGAAGAGATCCGTGACTTCAACATCAACCCCTCCATGGAACAACTGGTAGGTGAATATCATGTCGCCCCGTTTGCGTCGGTAGTACAGCGATGGAAGTTTCAGAGCCCTGAGCCTCTCTTGGTAGGGCAGGTGGCGAAGGTTGGCCACCATGCGCGTAGCTCTGCGCTGTACCCTCTCCACCAGCTTCTGGTCCGCCCTGTTGAAAGGGCCCCACACGAGGTTGCCGTACTCGAGGTGCGGGCGCACCAGGGACTTGTAAAGCAGCGGCAGCGTGCACTCGTTTATCAGCACGAATGAGCGACGAATCACAGCGAGAATCTGGTTGGCCTTGGCTACGGCTGCTGAAGCATGTTGTCTGAACTTCAGCTCGTCATCGACTTGCACGCCCAGATCCTTCTCCACCCGCACGACGCTCATCTCAGAGTCTCTCATCACATACTGCTTTGCTGGGTTGTTTCGTCCGAGGTGCATGACCTTACACTTCGCCTCATTGAAGGGGAGTTGCCAGGCGTCCGCCCAGTTGACCAGAGCCTCGAGGTCAGACTGGAGGCTAGACGCAGCGAGAGTAGAGGCTACCGTGGAGTACAGCTTCGTGTCGTCCGCGAACATCGTCAGCGAGGAACCAACAACCTCAGGCATGTCATTAATGAAAATCAAGAACAGTAGTGGACCCAGGACCGAGCCTTGGGGTACCCCGCTGACCACCTCCGACCAGTCAGATGACTGACCATTAATCACTACCTGCTGTCTCCTGGCTCTCAGGAAAGCCCCGATCCATGTGATCAGCTTGCCGCTCACCCCGTGACTCCTGAGTTTATAGAGGAGTCGTTGGTGAGGAACGGAGTCGAAAGCCTTCTGGAAGTCCAGGTACATTACATCGACAGGCTTATGATTCTCTAGGGCCCTGCTCCAGTCATCAAGCACTTTGACCAGCTGGGTGCTGCAGGAGCGCTTTGGCCGGAAGCCATGCTGGCAGTCTGCCCACAGGTGGTTCTCTGAGAAGTGCTGATAGATTGTGTCTCTGATGAGGGATTCCAGTATTTTACAGACAACAGAGGTAAGGCTGACCGGCCGATAGTTGCCAGGGTCCTGTCTGTTCCCTTTCTTAAATATAGGTACTATCCTCCCCAGTGTCCAGTCCCGCGGAACCATGCCCAAGTCCAGAGATCTCCGGAAAAGTAGCGAAAGAGGTCGGCTCAGAGCGCGGCGTGCCTCCCGTAACACCTTTGGGTGTATGTTATCTGGTCCAGGAGCACTGGACGGGTTGAGGGCCTGTAACTTTTGTTCAATGGCCTCCGGTGTGATTCGGATATCGGTTACCTCTGGAGTAGTGCTGGCGCTGGCAAGGGTTGGAATGTCTGCGAGCCGTTCTTGTGTAAAAACACTGCCAAACTGCGCATTTAGAATGTCAGCCTTCGCCTTATCATCACTCATCAGATCTCCTGAGCCATTTCGAAGGTCCCCTATACCTGTCTTTGTTTTAAGTCTCGAGTTAGTATACCTCCAGAAGGCCTTCGGATTCTCTTTCAAATCGGTAGCCAATTGAGTTTCGAAGTCTCTACGGAGTTTGCGTGTGAGGACTCGAAGCTTATTTCTGCAGACTCTAAATCTAGCCAAGTCCAATGGATCCTTAGTGGACGTGTATGTGCGCCAAAGACTGTGTTTTTCTTTCCTCAACCTAAGGGCATGGCTCGTCATGTAGATATTTTTCCTCGATTTGGAACTTCTAGCAGTGGGAACAGTGGCAGTAACAAAAGAGGTCAGAGAATTCCTAAAATACTGGTACCCTGCCTCAATGTCCAGTGAAGCCAGACATTCCCAGTTTGCCTCAGCTATCATCTCCTGGAGTTGTCCAAAGTTGGCTCTGTGAAAGTTTAACCTTTCCTGTACATTCTCGGAACGGGTACTGTAGCACTTGAGATTGAATCTCATTACTATGTGGTCACTCTTACCCAGACCTGGTAAGTACTCGAGGCTAGACAGCATCCCCTCCTCGTTAGTGAATAGGAGGTCTAGCAGGCTAGGCGACTCCCCTTCTCTGTACCTAGTGGGTGCCAAAACATGCTGGAATAGTAGACAATCATGAATGGAGCCAAGAAACTTGTGAGCGTAATGGGATTCTGGTGCTGCACAAAAGTTGAGTGCCCAGTTGATCTGTGGAATATTAAAATCCCCACAGATCAGCACGTGAGACGGTTTTGAATCAATGACGGACTGAAAAAGACCAGCAAGCTCATCAATGCTCTGCTTAGGGTCCTGGGACGGACTCCGATAGACACAGCCCATGATCAGCCTATCATTACCCTTCAGAGAGATGTTGATCCACAGATGCTCTGTCAATGTGGGCCTGGTAAATGTTACCTCAGTAGCATGGATGCTGTCTATCACATATATACAGACACCGCGAGTACCCTTTGACCCCAGATGGCTCTCGTTTGGATCAAAGTTGGTAAATAGGTTGTAACCAGGGAGAGATAACAGTGCCATGCTGATTGGTAACTGCTGGGCTTTTGGTATGCATTCTGTCACCAGGATGACGTCTGGGAAATCATCAGATATGTAACTAAGCAGATCGTCTCTCTTGTTAACTAGCTGGTCAGCATTGGTATAGAAACAGCTGAGCTGCTTGTCCCTGTCAGTGATATTTGTGTGTAGTCAGGCCGATGTGTGCTCGTCAGCAGCCGAAACTGGACCAGCCAGCGCTCCAGGCGTAGGAGCGTGGTCACTGGCACCAGTGGCGACAGCCGGATCTGTCTGCGTGGATGTAGGCCGGTGGCCACTGACACCAGCAGCAGCCTCTGGACCAGCCAGCACTTCAGGTGGTGAAGTGTGGGCACTTCTAAGCCATGAATGAGTAGGTCAGGATGCTCATTGCTTGGTTGCCAGCTGTTATTCATACAGAGTGACAGTTATGCTTCATTGTTACAGGTGACAGGTCACAGATGTGACTGTATTGCAATTGTACATTAAACATTTTAGCAAGATCCCTGCCCCTTCTAAAGTCCCATAGTATGTTTTGTATGCCTTTCACTCTCAATAATATACCTATGCCATCAAGCTCAGGATTCAAACGCCAGTGATGCAGTTCCCTCTGGTGAAGCCACATAATTTAGTAATATTGTATAAGTCCATGGGCTGGAGCCATAGGCTGGAATGCATGTAAATTATAAATGCATTGTCAAGCAGAAGGCATGGCGATTAATGGATTTTCTTCTTGCACAGGTTTTTTTTCTCTCCCATGGTGGCATAAAAAAGTTTCATGATAGAAAATGTGAAAAATCCTCCTCTTTGACATCGCTGGAACCTGTAAAGATTTACAGTTGTTCACATTTTATTATTCTTCATGTGTGTTCAAACTCTCAGCCTGTTACAAAGATTTTCTTTTCAGACTGTTTAAATCACAAGAAGACAGATGGCATCATCAAGTGGGTAAGTATGTAACTTGTGTTTAATAATTCCAATATCTGATAAAAAAAAATATAAATGGAAAATGCTTTCTGCTGAGTGCTGACTGATTTGTTTACTTTATATGATTGCCGATTGGTTAAACTATATATGTTTGTATCATTCTCACTTCTGTAACATTTACCCCAATGCACTGGGCCTTTGGGATTCAAACACTCTGCTGAGGAGATGTCTTTAAATCCCCTCCGTCCCCCCCCCCCCCCGCATCTTGCTCAGTTCCACCAGAGACCGTTCGTATTAGCGTTTTCACTGTGGCTACCATATAGGGTGCGTCGATCGCCTCCAGTCATTCGTTCCTTGATTGAGTTAGGGCTCTGCGGAACAAAATCGTACATGTTAGTGACGAGAGGAAGCTGATAATACCTACCCAATTTTAAGATCCTGGGTCATTACTCGACTTTCCAAGTCAGGCCAGTGACCCGAAAATAGGTACCTACCTGCTAGAATCTCTTTAAAAACGTTACCGGGCTTTTGCTGTCGGAATTCCGCGTCCATCTGGAACTAGGATGACAGAACTTTGTGATGTTTCGGCCAATACTTGATAACCCTCTCACTTATACCTGGGAGGGGGGAGGCGAGAGTTCGGATGGACCCCCATCCAAAGCATGGCTCCAAGAGTATGTAGTGGCAACCGTGAAATGGTAAAACATTGTCTGGGAATAGCCTTGCGGGGCGCGGGTAACACGACCTGGTGACCTGACCTTACATGAAGTAACATCAGGCTAGTTTTCAACATGTGCAGGGAAAATGACGTGTCAAAATGGATTCACCGTTTTTAAATATTCGCGAAAAATGTTGGGAGTCTAGAAAAACGCCCTCCCTGTTAAGATATTCACGATAAATCTTGTGAGTCTTAAAGACGCCCTCTCCGTCACGACGCTGGTCAAATCAATAACATATGTATCCACTGGAGGTATGAGTGTATGGAGCTGCTGTATGCCTTCGAATCCGCTGTGTATTTCGATGTTAGTCTGGATTTTGACTGCGTTTGTTTTCAGGCGGAAGGTGCAGCAGATCGGATGCCCCGCGCACCCGGAGGCCCATCTGATTGAGGACTACCGCGCCGGTGACCAAATCTGCTCCGTCTGCGGCCTGGTCGTCGGAGACCGGTAAGTACCGTATAAACAGCGTCTGGACGTAGAACCGTCCTTGTGTAGGTAGGCTTAAAACATATGTGTCTGTTAGCCTGATAGTTGTGTAGATGTCTATCACCCAGTGGTGCCTATGTTGATGGTGTAACTCCGGCAGTGCTCCTCTTTTCACGGCTTGTTTCCTCTGGACGGAGCTGACTACCAGGTCGTTTCACCGTCATGATGCTGCTCGTCCTAACTGGTCCAATGAACTGTGAACTGACCCCACGTCTCCCTGCCGCCAGTGTGATCGACGTCGGCTCGGAATGGCGTACATTCAGCAGCGACAAGAACGCCGCCGACCCGTCGCGTGTCGGTGGCGCCGAGAACAAACTCCTGGGCAGCTCCGACCTGAGCACCATGATCGGGGATGCGCGCGGCGCCGCCTCCTTCACGGCTGACGGACAGAGCAAGTACCAGAACCGGCGACAGGTGAGTGGGGTAGAGATGGACAGAGCAAGTACCAGAACCGGCGACGGGTGAGTGGGATAGGGATGGACAGAGCAAGTACCAGAACCGGCGGGAGGGAGTCTGGGATAGAGATGGACAGAGCAAGTACCAGTACCAGAACCGGCGGGAGGTGAGTGGGATAGAGGCGGACAGAGCAAGTACCAGAACCGGCGACAGGTGAGCGGGATAGAGATGGACAGAGCAAGTACCAGAACCGGCGACAGGTGAGTGGGATAGAGATGGACCGAGCAAGTACCAGAACCGGCGGGAGGTGAGTGGGATAGAGATAGACGGAGCAAGTAGCAGAATCGGCGACAGGTGAGTGGGATAGAGATGGACAGAGCTGAAGTAGCAAGTACTTAAACCGGCGACAGGTGAGTGGGATAGAGATGGACAGAGCAAGTACCAAAACCGGCGACAGGTGAGTGGGATAGAGATGGACAGAGCAAGTAGCAAGTACTAAAACCGGCGACAGGTAAGTGGGTTAGAGATGGACAGAGCAAGTACCAGAACCGCCGACAGGTGAGTGGGATAGAGATGGACAGAGCAAGTACCAAAATCGGCGACAGGTGAGTGGGATAGAGATGGACAGAGCAAGTACCAGAACCGGCGACAGGTGAGTGGGATAGAGATGGACAGAGCAAGTAGTAAGTACTTAAACCGGCGACAGGTGAGTGGGTTAGAGATGGACAGAGCAAGTACCAAAACCGGCGACAGGTGAGTGGGATAGAGATGGACCGAGCAAGTACCAGAACCGGCGGGAGGTGAGTGGGATAGAGATCGACCGAGCAAGTACCAAAACCGGCGACAGGTGAGTGGGATAGAGATGGACAGAGCAAGTACCAGAACCGGCGGGAGGTGAGTGGGATAGAGACCGACAGAGCAAGTACCAGAACCGGCGACAGGTGAGTGGGATAGAGATGGACAGAGCAAGTACCAGAACGGGCGACAGGTGAGTCTGGGATAGAGTTGGGTGGTGTGAATATCACCAACTAGTGCCGTAGCTATGGAGAGAATGAGGTTGTGGAAAGTCGCTTTAAAAAGTAACGTTGGAAATACCGGCATACACAACGAGCAAGCTACGTATTTGCAAGACACAACCTGTCGCTGGTTCACTTAAACCCTTCTTCAACATTTCAATGGCCACGCTATCCCTCAACAACACGTCCATTATTTTCGGTGACCTCCCCACACCCCGCTCTAACACACCACTGCTTGCCTTTCTCCCCAGATGAGCAGCTCTGACCGCGCGCTGACCAACGCGTTCCGCGAGATCGCGCTAATGGCCGACCGCATCAGTCTGCCTCGCACCATCGTCGACCGCTCCAACAACCTGTTCAAACAGGTGCACGACGGTCGCAACCTGAAGGGACGCTCCAACGACGCCATCGCCTCGGCGTGCCTATACATCAGCTGCCGTCAGGAGGGAGTGCCGCGCACATTCAAGGTAGGACGCGTGCCAGATGGCCACGAGGTGGTGCGATGGTGGGCTGACTGTGTCGTGTCTTGCGGTTACGTTGATGTAGATCTTAGAAGACAATAAAATGTATCCATCGCGTGATGTTCCAGCACTCAATTAGAAGGATTAGGAATCAGGGCTGCGTTGTATCACACTTACCAGATACTTTTCATGTGTTAACATTTCATGTCTCATTTAACAAGTTTTTACCTGTAAACAGGCATAGCAACACGCAATATTTTGCAATATTTGCATGATTGTTCATTCAGCGTTGGCACATCCCACTCATGCTTTTAGTGGCATAATTGTTTAACTTAGTAGCAACAGCCGAAAAGCTCTATCAAGCAGGCTGTCCTCTCTTTGCGCTGTACAAGTCAATCTAACGTTATCTCTCCCTGTGCAGGAAATTTGCGCCGTCAGCAAGATCAGTAAGAAGGAAATCGGCCGGTGCTTCAAGTTGATTCTGAAGGCGCTTGATACTACCGTGGATATGATCACCACGGGAGACTTCATGTCGCGCTTCTGCGCCAATCTGCGTAAGTTGGTCATTAAATTCATGTCGTGTGACTGTGTTTGGGCTGAACTACGGCTGACCAACTTGCTTTTTTGTAGGAATTGCAAGCGGGGGAGTGTTATCTTAGGCGGTGAGGACGTTTCCGATGTTGGTTTAGCACATTCTGAAATAATGAGGGTTAATCATAGGTTTTTTTTTTGCTCTTTGAAGACTATTCGCGGGAGCCTTGAGTAACACTATATTGCATCCGTCTTTTCCTCGCGGCAGGTCTTCCCAACTACGTGCAGCGCGCGGCCACGTACATCGCTCGCCGCGCGGCCAAGGAGCTGGATATCGTGCCCGGAAGGTCGCCCATCTCAGTCGCCGCAGCGGCTATCTACATGGCGTCCCAGGTATTTACAACCGTGGCGCAGTTGTGTTGACTCGCGCCCATTTGTGTATTGTATATTCTTTTTGTGAATTTTTGTTGAGTATACATTCAGGGCGGCATTGGACTCGAGATTCTAATTCGCTGGGATAAGTTAAGTTTATGGAAATATAGGGACGGAGCAGTAGTTGTGGATGTTTTCTTCTTCTGCACTTAGGACTTTCGGAAGATCCTAAACACACTGCATCGCCAATTTTGCCAATCAAAATGTCGCCAATTTCGATACAATCACGTTGTAACGGAAAACTCGTTTCGTATTCTGTCATCCATCATGCATCACCACTCACCAGCATCTCGCAGTTAGCAGCATCTCACTGGCTCGAAGGCGTTTCGTGACCCGTTCTCATCCACCTCTCCCCGTCACTGACAGGCATCCGAGGACAAGAAGACCCAGAAGGAGATCGGAGACATCGCCGGCGTGGCCGACGTCACCATCCGGCAGTCGTACAAACTGATGCTGCCGCGCGCCGCCGAGCTCTTCCCGCCCGACTTCAACTTCCACACACCGATCGAGGACCTGCCCGAGCTATAGACGCGCACTGAGGCGTTCTTGGCGCACCGCGGCGGTCTCAGCGCGCCGTGGCGGTCTCAGCGCACCGCGGCGTTCGATGGCGACGGCCGGCGCTCGGACGGTGGTGGAGGGTCGTCCGCGACTGGCTGATTATCTGTCAGCACACTCCCGTCTACCAGTTAACAAACACTCGCACATGCACAGAATGCGTGACTCGCGGGGCGGCTCGCTGTGTGCATGGATCACGCGTACTGCGGCGCGGTGCAGAGATCGGAGAGAGAAGACATTAAGCAGCTGCTGGACAGGTGGAGGGTGGCCAGTCGCCCGTCAGTGACTTCCTGAGGCGCTCGTTACGCCGCACAGTTCAGAATTTGTAACATTATGCAGTGCGTCAAGTCGGCTAGTGCACCTGGGCGCTTCCGTGGCGCCTTCAAAGACATGGAGATTTGTGTGCGGTACAGCTGCCAAGACTGTGTTGGTGTGTTGATTGGTCGCGAACGATCGTGCAAGTGTCTACCATAATAGTGTCCATGAGGCAGGGGTTTGGGCGGTGAGATCAGTCCAAGGTCAAGGGCCCAATTTTGTTAGGATTGGAAATGTGCGTGGGGGTTCGACCTTGGACTTCGTCGTCTTACGCACTTACTTTGTCTGCTGCAGGCTGTCGATATCTCAGTGTCACGCCTTTGCTGTGTCTGGATGTGGCCGACCGTCCTTGCGCACTCTCAGATCACGCCTTCCATTTTCGATGGTTAGTTGTGTGAAAGACAATAATCCGAATGTTCTGTGTAACGCGCGTCCGCCGGTTCTGTGTAGCCAGCCCCATTCCTCGTAGTACTGCAACCTTCCGCCATTGTACAAAGTGACCGGCGCGTGAAGAAGTCGCCATCCGGTCGAGAGGTTTCTGAGCAGCGTCATTGATTATTTGATCTGGGGATACCAGCGCGGAATCTGGGTGACATTTTTTGGTGTTAGTCGTATTTGTATGTATGTTTGTTTGTTCTAGAAATAAGTGGATGTGTCGGTAAACCACCACATATATGTTGTAACTGCACAGACATCGTTTCTTTCATTCACTTCAAAATGCTGGCAGAAATTCCACTATTTTGTCTATGTAGCATTGGCGTGAATACATAAACCACAAAATCCCAAGAGTTGTTTCACTTCTGTCGGTGCAGCCTCCCACAGACATCGGAAGTAGTCTACCGGCCGCTCCTAGTCTACCGGCATGTCTACATCCGTTTGCGCACCTTTGTCACAAAAGTTTTCCGCAAAAAGTCGTTGAACCGATGTGTAGCCAAGCCACAGGCGGCATAAAAAGTGGCAAGCTAGTACAAATAAAACAATCGGAATCACATCACGAAACATATATTATCCATCAACAGTCCAGTCAGCCAACATAACCAACAATCAGATCGCAGCAGTGGAAGCTTTCATAACGCCAAGCCACTCGGTTTCACCGTACGCTGAGGACCGTCATCGTTATGTCATAGTGCGCCAGAGACTGACTCTTCCGCGCCAGGGACCGTCTCCGCCGCGTCGCTTCAGTCTCAGGCGGCCGGCTGCAGCAGCGGCAGCAGCAGTGGCAGCCTCAGGCGGTCCGCCACCGACGGCTCATCCTGCAGTCGCTGCAGCCAGCCGTACACCTGCGAAGGTGGTGGGGAATAATTAGCATCGTCAGGGGAAGGAACGGGCACAGGGTGTCGGGTGTACGGCAAATGATGGGACTAGAAATTAGACCACGAATCGTAATAAGTGTAGGTGGTAGGATTACATCGGCTGCTTGTGAAAAGGTGTCACGACTTCCGCGGCCGAGATTACCATCATTAGCTAATGACCGACTCTGTAAGAAATCATCGATTCGTAAGATGGAAAAAACGTTTCGTTTTGATCCATCAGGATCTTCAAATTCCTGATGATCCATGCCAGCTGCTTGGTTTTTTATTGCACATAAAAGCCCATTGCTTAACCGTTTGACTGGCATTCACGTTACATTTGCACCCAAATGACAGCAAGTCACATAAAAGCAGACGAATCAAACGCACACGTTGGTACACACTTCCCCGACACCCCTGTCCCTACCTGTTTCAGCACGGGCCGCCAGCGGGGCTGGCGGAGCAGCAGCCGGGCCGCGGCGGGGAACAGGCGCGTCCGAGCAGAGGCCGACGAGGCCAGAGAGGTGGGCGAGGAGGTGAGGGTTAACGGCGACCAGAGCAGCACGGCACAGGCCAGCACGTCGGCCAGCCAGCCCAGCACCTGCGGAGAGGGCAGGCGCGGTCAGAGCGGGCAGGCAACGGTGGAAGATGACATAAAGTTGCAACACATTACTGAACGCGTATTGCATACGTCATCTGGTGAACTGCCTTATGCAAGACACTTCCCAAAAGGTTTAAACAGACTTTCGGCAGACAGAGGGCCATTTTCGTGTAAGAAGTCAGAGAGCCGTTCTCGTATAAACCGGGCCCAAATGCAACGATTTGTGGCGGCTCGTAAGCTGAAATACCAATGAAATAACCAATTATCGTATAAGAGAGCCATTTTCATTGCATTATATCTCGCTCGCATCAATCGCACGCGCCAGCTTCGTACGTGCTTTTAATCTAAGCAATAGAAAATGTATTCGAAGAGTATCCTGTAAGCTGAAAGAGGCTGTTTCAGAGTCTAAAGGCCGCCCCACACTGGACCTCGCATGCGGGTTGCGAGTTTTCGCTTTTTCGGGTTTCTTCCAAATTAAATAATTCACTCTATGTTGAGTAACCCATACCAACATGCAACAAGCGAGTCTGCATGTTTTTAGCATGCGAGCCAACTTGCATCGCATTCCAAAAGTTGATTTCGAGTCAACTTTCGATTTTCCTCGCTGCGAGGTCTGCGAGTTCTGCGAGGTTTGCGGGTTTTTCGTTGAAGTCGAATTTTGGTTCGTTGCGCTGGTATTGCGACTATACAGGGTGGAAAGAAATTACGCGAACATACTTTTTCGTCTTATAGCAATTAGTGGTGTCAATTTCAGAAAACGTATGTCCAAAGTCCGTCCAATGTCCAATGCTTACGTCGATTGTCCGTCCAAAAATGTCCAAGCCAGCCATTTGTCCAAAGATGTCCGACACCTACGCAATAGTTTACACTCAGCACTGTTATTTCATTTGCTTTTCATGTACCGCTACAAGCTCAAAAGTGTTAATCATATCGAAAGCTGAGCTTTCTAATAGCCAATCAATGTTAAACACGACTACTTTTCAAAAATGTTGAGGTGTAGCAAGCGATTGTCCAAAGTTGTCCAAAGCCTGCGGCCATTGTCCAACCGAATTCCGAATTGGACATTGGACAAAATCGGAATTCCGAAGATTCAAGTTCCGATTGACACCACTAATAGCAATGGAAAAAGCGGCGGGTGACATGAAAATTTCATCCTTTCATATATGCCTATTTATGTGCGATACACTGACAAAGGCGTTCAGGCATAATTGACATGAGCATGTCAAGCACTGTTGGCCAAAGCCTAGTCCACGCCTCCTGGAGCTGTCTGGTGAGACAATCGATGTTGGTGGCTACTAGCAGCTCTTAGACGCTCTCCTGAAGAGTCGCCTGGATATTTTTGATCAAATTGAGGTCTGGGCTATTCCCAGATTGACCATTATATGCCCAGAAGAAGAACAGATTCTCAAAGCACCAGTCTTGCGTCTTTTCGGCCGTGAGAGGAAGGACTTTATCAATCATAAAGAAGAGTTTCTTTGCGTCGGGCACAAAAGTGCGCTCAATCATTTTGCCCCTTTTGGTGCATTGGTGGATTAGATAAAGAGACTCGTCTGGAGGGATGTTCCACTAGTTGTATACTTTATTTTTGGTTGCCTTTTTGGTCACTACATGCAATTCTGACACCATCCGGGCGCTCATAACACGCTGATGTGTGTTCCTTTGCCGGATGTTTGAAGGTTGGGACGGGCGGGACGTCGGACGCATCAGCAGCCCCCAACGCGTTGTTCTGCAGGTTTGACGGATGAAATAGCTTCGAAGATGTCTCACCCAACCACAAAGCCAGCTGCCTGTCCTCCTCTGTTCAGGTTTGCCGGTCTTTAGAAAACTTAAATTGACAATCCTGCTGTTAATTCATGAATTTTGGCCATCTCGATTGTTTGTACGGCTTGATTTTCGAATTTTCACGGATTTATGTATGAATCGTGATATCTTAGATCGGGTACCCGGCCAGAGTAAACCATTTCGCCTGTTTTCGGATCGACTGTTGTCGTTTGGTCGCGGAAATGGTGACCACCCATTCGGCGCCTGAATTCGCCGAGGTTTTACTGCCGCCAACGGCTTTGCTTTTTAAGTCCTTTTAAGTTTTATTATGCTTCAACCAAACGTGTAATTGAGTAATGCTGGTGCCGAGACCGTTCCGAGTCCCTTCCGCACCAATCCAGCCAAAATAATCACAAACGTTTTCCCTGGCAACACCAAATTGCGATCTTTGCACATTGTGGTCTTGTGCAGCGTATGGCGTCTGCACCATTCGAAGTCGAGACGTGTTGTAGACCTTCCAAGTCATTTTTCAAAGTAAGGTCACTTTTGGTAGATGAGGCGACAACAAACACGACCAATCATGTTCCATGACATCCCGCGCTCATACAAAATCTCCACTGACGGGCGAAATGGTAAGAAAATACATGTTCGCGTAATTACTTTCCACCCTGTATGTAAGTTTCTGAAGGTGAACCGGCTTCACTGCATTCATGAAGTTATCATAAGGGAACGGTCTAATCACTCTATGAATTAGTATTTAATCGCAAAATCAAAACCCGCAAACCCGCAACCCGCATGCGAGTTCCAGTGTGGGGCGGCCTTAATTCAGCTCTAACAGACTTTCACAGCCGGTATAACAGCTCTAACAAGCACGCCGGCCGACTGACCTGTCCCGGTTTGGCGGTGTCGCAGTCCACGCGGCCCGTCTGGACGGCGCGCAGCCTGAACAGCAGCTCCAGCAGCCAGTCAGGAGCGGAGGCGTGGCCGCAGCAGCCGGCGAGAGCGCGGCACACCTCCACCTCCACGTCCGCTCCCAGACTGGGGGATACAGCGCACAGTGAGTCAGTGGGCGGCTGGGACGATGGACAACATACTAATTACAACTTTGCGTAACTTTGAGACTTGAGCGACAACATACGATTGCTGGAGTCAAGGTAAAACGGAATGTGTTTCGCCGTACCGAAACCGGCCTGTCGAAGCAAACAACCGTAAAAGATACGATAAAAAATATCCGAAAGTTAAACGTGACCGACAAAACCAGAGGCAAGGTATTTCGCAACACACTATCGCAAATAGTTTCTCGAAACGAACATCTCACAAGTAAAAAAGAATAGTCAATACTGACCCTGCGCTGCCCGCAGCATCGATGATATCATTCATCCAGACCATGGGGCTATCTCCCTCGCCCAGACAGGACATGTGGCTCCGCACGGCGGCCGCCACGACAAGTTTGGCTTTCTCGACCGACCACCAGAGGGACGGCGAGCTCAGCCGTTCCAGATGAGACGTGGGCAGCTCCGAGATACCTTCCAGGAACGCCGTGAACACTTCCGTCTGTAAAGGCAGGTGGCGATGGGGTTAGTTGATGGAAAAGATCAAAACATTGCGATCTGCAGTTGAGGAGCAGCACCTGACACAAACCTATCGAAACAGGACGAGTAAAATTCCCAGACAGCAGAAAATGAGTCAAGAAAACAAAGACACCAAGCAAATAATGACGTAAGTGTTACATTTAACCCAAGTCACGATAAACGTTAGGCAACTTCTGAGCACCAACTTGCATTCACTGAGAACCTGAGTGATTCAAGAAGAAAGTTCTCAATGTAAAACTGCAGTGAGATTAGCGATTATTGAGCACTAACCTGTTCCGGGTTGATGTCGTCGGCCATGGCCTCCATTACATGGCCGATGGTCGCCCGATTCGCCTCGTGTAGACGCTCGTCTTTGAGCGCCGTACGCAGCGCCGCCAGCACACGGCATGCATCCGAACTCGCAGTTCCGAGGGTCGTCGATAGATGGTGCTGCACGAACGGCATGAGCACGGCGGGCGGCACGCCGCGTCCAATCATACCCAGGTGTTTGAGGAGAGCGTCGGTCACCTCCGGCGGCCGACCGTCGCTCGGCGGAACAG